AGTATCACTGTATCACAAAACAGGACTTCAATAAAGCACCAACACTATTAAATATAAACAATTCCATTTGTTATTTGTGCTGTTAAGTCGAGGTTTGAAAATGGCATCAGTTAGAAGTGCAGCTGTATCTGATAGATTAGTGGTGTACCTATGGGTGGTCGCTGAGGCGAGCGATGCGAGAGAGCGGGCGCGGCGCGGAGCGGAGGCGCTCGGCAGAGCAAGCAGGCGGCACAACTGGTGCCGGTGGTGGTCGCAAGGTTGCTGAGGAGCACAGCGCGGTGTCGCGCTCGGCCTTTGTACGTCGCACCAGGCGGGCGTTTAATGCGCGGGTATTTCTGTAGATCACAGGCATCGGACAAATCGCGACCGTGCGACCCGGCCTCAACGAGCACTCTAATAATAAACTTGTTTATATTTTTTATTCCCTCCATGACTTTTATTCTGATTCTTCAGTGATGTCCAGCACCGGACGCCAAGGCCTCGCTCGCCGACCTCGAAGACCACGTGCGCCTCAAAATAGACCGCAACGCGACACTCATCTTCGATTCTCGTAATTTATCGAGAACGGATTAAACGAAACGGCGCCAAAATGCGTTTTGGACGATGGCGGGATGTCATAAAGAATAAATGGCGAGTGGGTGTGTAGGTGTAGAGTAGCGGTGCGATGCGCGGTGCGCGTGGTGGGTACGTACCGAGAGCGTGTCAGAGAGCGCGCTGCAGAAGGCGCTGAAGCCGGTCTGCGCGGGGGGGCTGGGCGGCGGGCTGCCGCTCGCCCGGTCCATGGCGCGCTGTGCCCCGACTGCCGACTGCCGCCGCGCACTAACGCGCCCTCGCGTTACATAAACCTCGCGGCTTGCCCGCTGCCCGCTCCCACCTGTCTGTTGTCGCTACGTTTTGGCATCACATGCAAACCACAACAATAACACTAAATAATTATAGAAATACTATTTTAAGCTCACTCAACACCGACTCAGACTAATTTGTAGCACTTTATCTTAACACAGCATATGATTTTAAGCAGACTCGAGAACCGACTGGATCAGAGATGTTATTCTTTGATTTTCTCGTAACAATCTGATTCACTTCCACTTCTACTTCGTTTAAGTGTTTCGTAGACAATAAACCAAGGCTACTGGTAGGCTCATACTATGTATAGGCATGTACCTGCCTGCGTGGGCCCATAATGAGTAATGACTTGTCAAGGGTGACCTGAGTTCGACCGTACATTTGACTTTGCCCTAAAACCGTTTTCTTTTATGCCGAAAGCATTATGGCCTTTTATAGAAGGTTGATATCGTTTTAATTAACTTTTGTTAAAGTAAGTAGTTCCAGGATTCAATTTGATGAAAGCAGTTGTTTTAAAATGGTTGTCTCACTATGTCTATGTACCGGTACACAGAGTAATGAAATATCCTCTCTAAGAAAATCCAGAGAACACAATTTGATTGCTAAGCAATTTTATCAAGCAATAAAGAAAACAAGACTATTCTATATAGGTACATATACGTACAGACGTACACCGAAGCGTGTGTTTAACCGAAAAATAGGTATCGTGTAGTCCCAAGCGTGCTTGCAACCCTGATAAAGAACATAACAATAACATTAGGGGTGGCCTTCGACCGCTACCCTTAATTTTAATCAGCTTTGAACACAATGAACACTGCTTTCGTTATATTTTATTGGAAAATTATGCTAAGTCATTAGTTAAGTTCGTTCACTTGCTTTATTCTATGACGATGACCTGTTACAAACAAAGTTGAAATAAGTAATACAGTGGATGATTAATTTTACTTTTGAAAATATTAATGTTCGACATTAAACTGAACGTAATCGTCACGAGTATTTGAGACGGGAGTCATCATAATCTAAGAGAAAAACAGGATTATTACGTCATCAGAGATAAGTATTTAGAGATAAATTACACACATTTGTACGACATAACAATAGCCGTAATGCTCGTGTTTACACACAAATTCATCGAAAAATATTTGATGTTCAACTGTTCTGTTTTAATGCTCACATAAACACCTGATTAAATACATTCAGTAATTTATGTTGTCACGACTTGCGATTGTAATTTGCACTATTCCTGTACAACAGTTACCTACATGTGTACAAATTACAACTAGATAATTTGTAAAGAGGAATTTAAAACGCGTACAATATATCTCTCGGTATCTAGTATTTGTGTAAATCCTAGTACTTAATATTTATAGTGCAATGCGTTGTAACAAGAATACTATAGTGTTTATGATAGTACTTAAAGTCGTTTTAAATCTTATTCTGTTGGCGCAATGTGGGAGGGTAAAGAGAGTGATTGGCGCTGTGGATGTCGACTGTGGTATTGCACTTTCCGTATTTCTTTTCAGGTATTTGGTATCTGACTGTTTAAATGAAAATTAGAATATTATTTTAGACATAAGCGTCAACGGATGGCGCTATACAGTTTATACATAGGTTATGAATATTCACAGAATCATTTACATCGTCACATCATTTTATTCCGTTACCCAATCAAAACGTGAACAAAGTCGTATCCGCATCTCTAATCCTTAGATACAAAGAATAATAGGTACTAAATACCCGTACTACGGTACTACCCGACTAAATACCCGGACTAAAATTGAGTGATGGAGTGAAAAATAGTGTTATTAGAGAAAAGTGTGGATTGAAAGATGATGTAGTAAATGTTACGCTGGTTTGGACATGTAGAAAGGATGGATGAAAGTAGAATAACGAAAGAAGTATACAGAGCGGATATGAATGGGGCTGTCGGTAGAGGGCGCCCTAGACGGACATATAGTGACCAGATTGGCGATATATTAAAGAAGGGCCAAATTAAAAGTACGATGGCTGTTGATGAAGCGAAAGAGGTATGTAGGAATCGTAGTAATTGGTGTTTCCTAGTCTCTGCCTACTCCCATGGGAGACAGGCGTGAAGTTATGTATATTATGCATGTAAATACCCGTTTAAGTGCATATCACAAACTTATAGACACAGGAATCAAACTCACTACATTACTACCTACAAGAACGCCACAGTTACATTTTCAATAGTCACACTATCGAGAACTTCTATAAATACTTTCGGAATAAAATAATTTGTGCTCACCAATATAAATACTGTTCTAATGTTGGATATCTTGTTGTAGTGTATCTAAAATTAAGTTAGAGGTCACTAGTGTTTACATTTGTTATAGATCAGGAATTTAAGTGGTTAAAAGTTTCAATTAAACAATTTGTTGATATCTAAGTATCTATCTGTTCGGTAAACATGACGCAATGAAAAAATGGAAGCTATAGAAATTAACTAATCAGCTGAGTTTATTAATTTTACATCTAATTATTAAACTCTTTTCTTTCTTTCTTTTTTATAAAACGTTGCCCCACACTAGGATTTTCTCCTGTGTCTTGGGTGCGTTTACAAACATACAAGTTCACATACACAATGACACCCAGACCTGGAACAACAATTTGTGGATCACATAAAGAGTTGCTCCGTGCGGGAATCGAACCAGCAGCCGGTTGCCCAGCCTCCGCACTAACCGTGTATAGCATAGCTATAGCTATCACCTATCACTAATTCGCCAATTTGTCTTCCTAGGAAAATATGTATGTTTTGTTTCATTTGATCTTCTTATCTTCCTACGCAAGATGTGGTACAGAAGCACTGTTATCAACATAACATAACATCACGCTTTTTATCCCCGAAGGGGTAGGCACAGGTGCACATTATGTCACTGTACAATGTAACACCCACTTTTCACTATTTATGTTATGAGTTCTATGTAATAGGGGGTGAGCCTATTGCCATATACCGGGCCCAATTCTAGACTTCGTGTTACTACTGAGATTTTTTTTTAAATCCCAGTAATACTTTGCCTGACCCGGGAATCGAACCCGAGACCCCTTGCCCGGCAGTCGCACTTGCGACCACTCGGCCAACGAGGCAGTCTGTTATAACACTTCTAATTATTACCAAATTATATAAGTTTCTGTGGTAATTAGTCCAAACAATGTTCGATTATTTGATAAACCTTTTCAAAAACATTTGAATCTATAAAAAACATAGATTTCAATGCGTTCAAACAAGCAAACACACTGTCCAACTCCACTATATTAATGTACTTAGATATGTGTCATCAACCTAATATTTACCAAACGGCTACTTTGTTTACTCAAAGGTACTAGCACGGCTTATTTTATTAAACCAATGTATGCCTTGCACTGATAAGCGTATATTGAAGAAAGTTGATTTCCCTTAGGACTACAGAGGTCAGACAATGAACACAAAATAAAAAAACAACGACACGAGGACTAAAGGGTTTGGTAATGCGCTCGTTTGATCGTAAACAAGTCCAAACAAACATTATGTGAATGTTCACTTCGTAACGTGAGGGCTGTGAGATCGGTTGGTTGGTTATGTATTCAAAGACGGAATTAGGTAATATCTACTAATGATAGGGATGATGGAAAAAAAAATTGTTTAAGTGTGGGAAAGCCATGCTTCCGACCGGAGTGATACCACGGCCTCACAGAAAACCGACGTAAAACAACGCTTGGGTTGTGTTTCATCGTGTGAGTGAGGTTACCGGAGGCCCAATTACCCTTCCCTTCCCCAATCTCCCCAATTCCTGAATCCCCAACGATCCTCAAACTCCTAAACCGTAAAAGGCCGGTAACGCACTTGTAACGCTTCTGGTATTCCAGGTGTCCATGGGCGACGCCGATTGCTTACCATCAGGTAATCCGTCTGCTCGTTTGCTCATGCCAAATAATAAAAATTGAAAATTTTGTAAAACGGAATTAACCAGATTACTGATTGACTCTTTTTAGGTTTATGTTTAAGCAAAGAATGTCCTAATTATTTGGTAATTACCTGCCTAATTTTAAACATAGGTACGATGCACTACATCAACAGTAGTCTTTGCAAACTCGACAACAATCACACAATGTTGTATACTACTACTGACTATTTATATCTGCATTTATAATCACAGGTATACAACCCCACGTAGCATCTCTAAAAAACTCTAGCAGCCTGGGTCATTTGTGTGGAGCTACCATCCTGTCTCAGACCTCCGCGCTGACTGCGGCGCACTGCGTGACCAAAGATGTAGATCAGTACCTGCTGCAGCTGAATAACTACTGCTCACATGGTGACGTGCCGCCCAAAGCTGACGTTTTGCAGATTATCAAACATCCTCTTTATAATCCGTAAGAATATTTTATTTTTTGTAAAATGATTACAAATCCATGAGGATTTTTAGATAAAATTGCAAGAACCGATTGCGCGAACGGAAACAGATAAGAAATAACTTTTTGGCTTTATTTTTTCGCGTCCTGCATAATGCATCAAATTATTTGTCCAAATAAACAATTCATTATTACTAAGAACTTGATTTCTTCGTACTAAATATCGATGATATCGCCTTGAATCGTGATCGCCTTGAACCCATTAAAACCAAATCCAATATAGAAGTGCAAAGCTAACGAAGCAGCGGGACGGGGCGGATTACGATTGAATAAATCCGCGTCATCGTTACAGCACAGCGCGAGCGCTCGATCACGTTGTATGGTTTCAGGATCACAAGAGCGCATGACGTGGCTGTGCTACGGATCGCGCTAAATCTCAGTGACGTCACCTGGCTTTCCCGCTCCCTGTTGCCCACATACACCTTCGGACTATCAGGTAAGTGCTAGATACGTGGTCATGAGTCGGCTTTTCAGTATTAAAGATGTAAACTCCATTCAGGGCCGTTTTAGACTACGATGAGGGCCTTTTGGAATGTATTTTTTATTTTTTTCTAACGTTGATCCACCGTAGGATCTTCTCCTATACGATGCATTTACAATATAGAGGTACAGCTTCACACACAGGAGCACAGAAAGATTTGCTCCGTGCGGGAATCGAACCCGCTACAGGTTGCGCGTTAGCTGGTTGTCGCGCCATACGTAACGTGTGTGTGTCCGTCACCGTAGAAATTGTCGGTCCTTCGGGTCGGGGCCCCCTGAGGATGGGGTCCCTGGGCATGTGCCCTTGTGGTAAAGACTGTACTGGCTTCATTGCAGGAGAATGCACAATATACGGGTATGGCTACAAAGAAGTGGACTCAGGAGCCACATCGGAGCGGTTGTCAGCCGGCACTCTGCGCATAGTCTCTTTGGACGAGTGCACGGCGACATTGGGCCCGTACGCAGCGCCCCGACATGACAGCGGCATGATGTGTGCTGTTGGCGAAGGCGTCGACGCCTGCCAGGTACCATCAACCAAATAAATGGATTCTATTCATTCTCATTAACGCTGTTAAATTAACCGTACTATACCAGCAGTGTAGTATCTCAATTTAATTACCTGTATATTAATACTGGGACGAATGGACGATAACCAATTTATTAAAGTAGGTGGGTACGTGTTATTGTCGAAAACCTACTACAACAGATAGGTATATAGATAGTGTATTATCTATAATCTACAAAGTAATTAGGTAGCTATTTAAGCAAATTTAGGTACCTGACAAGGATATAAATAGTATTTTACTTTGTAGATTAATTATTTCTGTCTAGACTATGCAGAATGCCCTCGCCGTACCGTCGCGGATGGCAACGAAAGGACATTAACGTATTGACGAGCGAGCGAAGGTTTGAAAATTAGAAAACCCGACAACATTGTACCTTCTGTCGACGTAACCCTTATTCTGTTACTTTGTAGCGTTTCCAAGGAGAATTTATTTGCCAATTGAGCAAACGAAATGGTTGGGATCGGGACGGTAGAATTAGCCAGCAATGAATTTCAAGAATACGGCGATGAATTTGGATTTGTCGTTTACAATGGCATTGATCGTTTTGTTTAAACTTCTGTTTAATTATTCCTCCAATTTATTAGTATAAATATTGGCATTGGACACTCAAGAAATTATTCTATATTCTTGTAGGGTGACTCGGGTGGTCCTCTGTTCTGCTCGGGCAGTATCCAAGCAGTGAGCAGTCACGGCATCAGTTGCGCCGTGCCGGGCCTGCCAGCAGTTTACACCAGCATAGGTCCACATCTACAATGGATACGAGAACTTATACAGAATGATTGATTCTGGGGATTAAATACGGATTCAAACGATAGTCTTTAGAATTTCAAACTTCCGTACCTCTTCAGTGTCAATTGTCATTACCTACTTATCATCATCTTCATCACCACGTTTCCATCCGCCTGGATATAGGTAGCCTTTTCTAAAAGCTGGAAGTTGATCTATGACATCAAGGTAGGTACGTTTTTTTTTTTTAATTTTAATGGGGCGATGTTATACCACTATCTCGCCTGGTGGTAAGCGATGATGCGGTATCTATATATATATATATATATATATATATATAT